TTGCTTATTTCCTTTTATGCAAAATCTACGATGATTTACGGTACTGAGTGTCCTGTGATGCACCGTTCTCTTGGCTTTCCATCCCATAACACAGAAGTAGAGGGCATCCAGAATTTTAACATAATTTCATATACATATATATATATATATATATTTCTTTATATTTAATCTTTATATATTTCTTTTAATATATATCAGCTCAATATCTCTAATTTTACGTTTGTTTTCAACCGAAGATTGAAAGGAAACCTAATTAGCATAAAACAGAGAATAGTACCGGGGATTATGCCACGTCGGAATCAAGAGGAGTGTTTGTGCTGGAGAGTTTGTTGGAATTTTAGCTCCCTCCTCATGCGTTTTCTCTTTCATTCGATGGAAAGCGCTTGCAATGAGAGCAGTGCTCCGCACAGTTGTGGATGAAGCTTATCATCTGTTGCTCTGCATGCTCAAACCACCTTTTCAGTCCCGGCATTCACATACTAAAAATACTGATACAAAACAGTTAGATCCCTCGGTATGCGTCCACCATCCTTTTTCTCCTCCAAATTCGCCTTTGTATTTTTACGCCCTCGTTGCATGGCAGCCAGACTATGCCACCGCTACTGCTCAATCAAATTATATGATGGTAAGGCTTAATCCCCTGGCACTGGTTTTGCTGCATATAAAAGTTCTACCCCTTGGTCTTTATTTAAGGGCAAGTTTGGAAGGCCCTCGGCACATTTTATATTTGCAGATGGAGGTGCTGGAAGAACGGCGTGCTAATGGAGCGGGTGGAAACGAAAAGGCTTCTCATCCTTCCGCCAAGAAAAGTACGAAGGGACGGACTAATGCAACTTATTGGATTACTCGATGCTGCTCCTGCAAGATGACAACGTTCTTGATGTCCACTGTGTTAATGCAAATGGTGTCAGTGGTTGCCAAGGGCTCGGTAATGTTTTAAAAAAGTGTTTTTTAATATATTCGGACAAAGAAGTAGGCAATAATGGTTACTCTTTGATAGAACGGTAGCATTTGTCAGATCTGAACGAATTTTTTTGTTTACCTTTCTCTACAGGCTGATTTCCGGCAAAAAATATTTCCCAGAATTGCAGCTCGTGAACCTCTGTAAACACTGGGGGACAAAAATCGCTCATTTCCACTCATTTTTGCAGTCCACCCCGGACTCAATCTTTGCTTTCTCGCCCAGACTTATTCACACAGTTTTCGTCTTCTCAGTGGCTGTTGGAAGTAATTACTGTATTTCTCACTAATTTCTTCACACATCCTGCGAAAGCGTGTTTCAAGAAAATTTGGTCACAAAAAAACACCACTTCTCCAAACCATCAGTTCTCCAAGCCATTTCCGTTTACACATGCACAAGCACAGCAAAAACGAAAAAACTTGAATAAGAATAGGCTGGTAGCCCTCAATGATAGAGAAAGAGGTTCATATTAATTTTGAAATTTGCCCCAGTTCTTTCGAAAGACGTATAAACGGTTAAAGAAAGGGTGTCCAGTATCTGAAGGCAGAAAACAAAAGCGTAGAAGGAATAAGAAAAATAATAATAACGTGCAATAATGGCAGTAATAACAATAATAACAGCAAGCAAACCCTCCTCTACACGCACTTTCTATGAAAGGCGGAAACACTTGGAAGTATTTCTGTCGTTGATTCCTTCAAACCTGTCGACAGGTCCCGGGCTGTATAGAAGAAAACTACGGGCTACAGGCGGGTTTGACTTTCCGGCATGCAAAACACTAGTTAACGCCAGAGCGAACGCGAGGTTCATAGAGGGATTGGTTGTCTCTGTGATAGAATCAAAATCTCGGCCTTCAGTACGAAAGCGGTAGTATTCCTCATTGCGCCATGCCCGCAGACTACGAAAGAAGTATACTAGCTTTGGATAAAATAAAGAGAGTATAAATTAAGGAGAAGTAAGGAGAGTATGAATTAGCTCTGGGTGAACCGTTTGCAAAAAGATTTGAATTGCAAAACCCTTTTCGAGCAAAAGACGGGTAAAATCGAATAAAGCTTCGGGTTACTATTTGGCATTAATAAAAAAGCGACTGATTCTTAACGATTTTGCAGCTTGCGAGCCCAATCAAGCTGAAGAACCAGGTACAGGACGACGCAGCCAACTGCACTGGTAGCCAACGGCCACTTCGGGAAGGATATTGGGCGACATCGGCCACGGTAAGCAAAAACAGTGAATGCGCGGACCACGGCCAAAATAGAATGTCGGTAGATGCTCATTCATGTGTACTTTTACTGCGGTAAAGTTTTTTCTGCTACTTCGCGGCCGAAGATTCACTTAAGGAAGCACACTGGCGAGAAGCCATACATCTGCTTGCAATGTGATAAGAAGTTCGGGAAATTGGAATATCAGTGGATGCATTGCAAATCTCATGTTGGTGAGAAGCCGTTCACATGTGGCCAGTGCAATCTGAACTTCTGCCATAAAATAAGCTTGCAAGAACAAATGCGGACACATATTGATGAAAAGCCGTTTTTGCTTTATAGTATAAAGACTTTTATGTGTTTTCACATATTACGCAGATACAGAAATGAACATTGTCGAGAGGTCGTCCATTTATACATAAATATATACACATGTATATATATATATATATATATATATATATATATACATACATATATATGTACATATGTATGTATACATACATATGTGTGTATATATATGTATACATATGTATATACATGTATACACGTTTATATACATATATGTATGTGTGTATGTACTGCAAATATGACTATATAGAGCGTCGGAGTAAAGGGCTCATAAATGCTTGGTAAACGCCAGTGCTTAGCACAAAACGCGCCAAATGATTTTCAGCTTGCGAAAAATGAAAACAATCATTCACTCCAAATGGCTAGCCATTTTATCTGCAACATCAGACGTTTTGACACACTTAGCTATCAAAACTGAAGCCGCCGTGTCTGGAACAACCTTGATTTTTTTGTGTTTTCAGAGAGATGCATTTTTGGAGTGCAGTGACGTTGGTGAAGGTAACTCACTTCGCTCGATCTGCCCCAAAAGTCAAGTGCTCGCATCACAGTTCAGCCTATCTGTGCCAACAGACGAAAATTTATTTGTTGCGGAACTGGCCAGAGCAGAGCCTGCTTTATTTGAAACTGTCTGCAATATAAT